AGATTTGGAAAACTGCTCTTGAATAGACAAGAGTCAAAGTCGGGTGTTTTATACATTCTCTAGTCAGTAATAACTTAAATGGGCAGTAATACAACAGTTGCTCTCTGATAGTGCCTGACATTTAGCAACGTAGGCTTTTCTAGTCCAAAACCACTCATTTACTTTCTGAGAATAGAAAGTTAGTAAGAAATAATGCAGCAAAGGGCAAGAGTGGCTTTACTAACGCAAGCATCTTACATGAACGATATTCTCCATAGGGGCAGGAACACTTTTTTTTTTACTGCCATAGCCTCAATGTCTAGAACAGTATCTGGACCTTAGGGTACTCACTGTTTGCCAAATGAATAAGTTAATTTATTTAAAAAGCTGTAATAGCTTTTCTAAGAGATAAATTCAGGCCTTATGTATTCTGAAAAGAAAACTCCCAAACAGATCAGTAGCAAATTCCTTAGATTAGACAAATTCTATGATCACAATTTAAAAATAAGCCATGTGTGCCAAAGCTAAAACCTGGGAAAAATTTAATCTAGCTGAGCAGGTATATCTATGTCATGAGACAATTGCTAGCTATATACCTTCCATGAATGCAAAATAAAACCAATGAAAACTGGCAACATCAAGTATTTGCTAAAAAGACTTTACTCTGAAGTTGCTGTAATGCTGTAAAATGTAGAATCAAACAGTCACAAAGAAACTACACATTTCTGTCTTCTAAGCACTTTTCAGGAAATAATAAAATCGTTCTATTTAGAAAGCTTATCTTAAATTAGAGCTTAACATTTAGAACCAATAATAATTTTCCTTAGGTGTTCTCTGAATGTATTTTCTTTTAATGATATAACTGTAATTATGTATACAACCAAATGTAAATGCTCACCTTAGCCTATTCGTGAGTATATTACACAGAGGCTATTGTGGTTTAAAAATCTGATAAAAAATTAAAAAAAAAATCTATGCCTAAATATATCTCTATACTATTTAGCTTCATTACTTATGATTACAAAATACTTATAAAATTGTGAGGTTCTTTAGAAATTAGCATAACTATGCTTTGAGGCTGACCTAATAATCAGAAACATAAGATCTATCTTATGCCAATTTAGGTACACCTTCAAGATGAAAGCTACATCAACAGATATTTCTGACATTATTATTGGTGCCAAATGATCCCATCACTACTCAAGGTTAAACAGGATGGCAATTTTTAAACTGGACCTGGGACATAACCTTTTTCTCCTTCCTTTGCTTGGATAGTATTTTATCACTCAGTTCAAGTCAACAGCAAAATAGGGGAATTTGGAAGATCAGCTTCCTCCACAGGTAAAGTAGAATGAAAGTACTTTCATGGTCCTCGGACTGGCTCAGGTTTATCCATTTTTTTTTTTTTTAAAGATGAGGTCTGGTCGGGCACGGTTGCTTACACCTATAATCCCAGCACTTCGGAAGGCTGAGGCGGGTGGATCACGAGGTGAAGAGATCGAGACCATCCTGGTCAACACGGTGAAACCCTGTCTCTACAAATTTTTACAAATTTTTTTACAAATTTTGTATTTGTAAAAATACAAAAATTAGCTGGGCATGGTGGCACATGCCTGTAGTCCCAGCTACTTGGGAGGCTGAGGCAGAAGAATTGCTTGAACCCAGGAGGCGGAGGTTGTGGTAAGCCGAGATTGCACCATTGCACTCCAGCCTGGGTAACGAGAGCGAAACTCCGTCTCAAAAAAAAAAAAAAAAAAAAAAAAAAAAAGATGAGGTCCTCCCATGTTGTTCATGCTGGTCTTAAACTCCTGAGCTCAGGCAATCTGCCTGCCTCAGCCTCCCAAAGTGTTGGGATCACAGGCATGAGCACGGGCACCTGGCCAGGCTGCGATTTAATATCAAATCAGTCTATTTTAGGTATTCCTTATACTCAACACCACTCACTTTTTACTTTATTAATCTATATTCCCTCCACTATGGGGATTAAAAAGTTCAGTTTTGTTTAGTAAAATCTTAAAGTCAGTTCCACGTAATTCACGTTTAAACAAAACAATTTACATTGTTCCCTTGGAATTTACCTCGAGTCAATCATTACATAATTCTTTCTTTTATTATCTGTTTCCTCTTCTAAATTCAGTTCCTCTCTTGCCATGTGTCATATTTTATCTAATTAGTTCATTTAAATGTTACTCATGTTTTAAGCCATGAGACCATGGCTTCAGTCTCACAAGGCTGCTAAGAACACCTCTGAGGGTCAATGTGTCCACTCACCTAAGCCAGTCAAACTTGACTGACAAAATATCCTCTTCTTCCAAAATTCAAGGAAATCAGAATTCTTTGTAATAAAAGGTAAATATGGGATACTAAGTATTTTAAAGTTTATAATAAAGGACATATTACTTGGGCCCAGATAGCACTTATTTTTTTAACTTAGAAATGTGTACTATAAGTCCATGAAGAGCCAAAGTGGATGGAAATCTCAGCTTGTCCTAGCAGACCAGAGTTTTTGAGAAAAGCAGTAGAAATTCCTGTAAGATGATATGTTCCAAAAGGGAGCAGGTGAGGAAACAGCTTTTATGCCATTGCACAGAAAGGAATCAGGATACCTAGAGACCACAACTCAGAAACTTGCAAGTCAAAACGTTAAGACTTATTTAAACATAGAGCCAAATGAAAATCTAAACAAAAAATATGTCAAAGAAATACACTTAAATAAAATTCACATGATCTAGCTCTAGGCATTCAACTCCTTTGTGCTTCATTTTCCTTTAAGGTCCTTTACTCACTCTATTTTATAACTTTCCTTCTTTAGAATCCCAAAGAGAATCAAAGCTCTCAATAAGCAGTAATATTTTGATTCTTTTTTTTTTTTTTTTTTTTTTTTTTTTTTT